GTAGCCTAAGTCCACTGCAGAACCAGAACGAGAGAGATTAGATACAAAAGGGTATGTGAGTTTTTGTAAAGTGCCTCCAACTCCATACATTCTAACCAAATAAACAACGCTATGACAAAGAAAACAAAATCTGTTCATTCAGACATGTTTTACTGCACTGGATGATACTTCTGCAGAGCAAAATTCAGCCCTGACTAGAGGGGCAGAAGAAGGTGTATGCAGAGGAGTCCATTTCAGCCTTAATGAAATCAATTCCTTTATTATTCATTAAAAGACCTCTAATGGATCTATTGAAGTTTGGTGTGCAGGGGAGACAGCTTATGATATCAGTGTTTCAGATGTGCAAGAAAACGCTTTTTCTGGAAGCTGAGTATCCGTCATAAATAACAAAATATAAGCACAATACCTGGACATTCTCCTTTCAGTAAGGAAGGATTTCTAGGTACCTGTCAATATGCTCAGTTTGAGTGCTCAGCAGCACCTGAAACTAGATTTACTATGTAAATTGACAGTGTTCTTTATATCATTTTTACCTTATCTGCAGTCTTCTCATCAACAATTTCAAATGAGCCACCTTCTGATACATGGTAGGTTGCTGGCTGATAGAGCTCTGGAACCACAGAAAGAGTTAAATGGCACAACACAGAGAAGTACACGCAGAACCTAATGGCAGGGCATATCACATTCTCACTAAATGACAGAAAAATTAAGGCAAAATCATTTTCAACTTGCTGTCTTCACTCTTCTTCTCTTTGTTCATTCCAATCTTTATCCTCTTTTTTTTTTTTTTTTAAAGTCTGTCAGAATATTGAGCGATGCCTTCTTGATTGTACTTCTGCCTTTCTTTCTTCATAGGAATTATTCTATCCTCTTCCTCAAAACCCATTTTCTTCTCATCCTATTTTTTTCCAATAACTGTCTCATTTCCCTCTTTTATGAAGTCATAAATACATCCCTGTCTTACCTAGAATTCTGTATTCTGCCCCTTCTGCCTCAGTCAGTGCTACAATGCCAACAATGTACTTAAAATAATTTAAATATTCTAAAGCTGAAGAGACTGTTATGACTAGGCAAAATTATATTAGCCTCATATAGTATTCTCCATTCAGCAAATCTGAATGCTTGAAAGTCAAGAAATGGAAAAAAAGTCTTATTTCATTAGGAGTACAGTTAAGCTGTCCATCTTCCAGCAGACACTTGCAATAAAATGGACTATTACTGCGCACATAAGAAAGCAACATACAGAAACAGAAAATGGGCAAAACAAAGTAATGCTGTCATAGGAATCTCTTCATTTCTCTAGTTTTCAGTGGTTCTGTTAGTAACTTTAATATTTCATTAACGTACAGCTTGTATTTCAACTTCCCTGCTTTTTTTCCTAGGGAAAAAAATTAGCAGGCAGAATCCAAACCTGTTAAACAAAGATGATATGCTACAATGCTGACAATATACTTAAATAATTTAAATACTCTAAAGCTGAAGAGACTGCCATGAGTTGCATACTTAAAGTGCAGTCTCAAACTGAGGTCCATCACCTCTCCACCTGTGTCAATGCATCTATATCTTTTTTATAAAACTGGGAAACTTGACCTCACTGGAATGTTTGTATTGCAATCTACATGCAGAATGAACTAGAAGAGATTTCTGTTCACGCTGGAAAGTATAACACTGCATAAACATCAGAATGTTACCCGTGCCTCCATTTTTGCCTTTCACTATCTCCTCCTTCCAGCCTCCAGATATATATACATAGTAAATTATGTACCATACGGGATGAAGGGACGGTCACTCGGTGGATGCAGTAGAAAATGTTTCTCTCCAGATACCACACAGTACAAGTTCTCATAATGATCTTTATGTACTAAGATTGAGGAAAAAAAGGAAAATGGAAAGAGGGAGAAAATCAACACCTCTTCCTTCTTTATATCATAAACTACAATAAATTGAAAGCATCATTTCATCTTCTCATTACCAGGCTGCTTCCTCCTCTTGCGGCCAGTGGGAGAGGAAAGCAATGTAATGTTGCAGTGAATGTATTCAAAGCAGCAAACTCCAAATCACTTTATCAACAACATACAAAGACATGTTATAAAAATTTAGTTACCTGTAGGATAGAGGCTTTCAATCAACTGGCATAAAGTCAACTGATCAGTCACTTGAGAGAAGGTAGGATTTCTGGATATCAAATATTCTTACAAAAATGCTCTGAGGTCCAGAATGGCTAAACAAAGCAGGCACTGCCTCAATTTTTTGTGTTGTCTAATGCTTTGTATAAGAAGGCTATATGGGGAACAACAATCCTCCGGCAGGATTGATGGTTTGGCTTGATCTACTTCTAAGCCAGCCTCCTAGACTGACAGGGCAGAAATCATCAGTGCCTTGCTTGTGCAGCAGATAAACGTAGAGACGCAGCAGTGAGAGGCTGCAGAAGTGCAAGAGGAAGAGTGGAAAGTATGTTAAAGTAGCACTGCCCTGTCAGAGCAAACACAGTTCTACTGAGCCACCCACATGAAACAAGCCTTATTAAACTTGTGCTGAAAAGCACAGAAGGGACATGCAGAGCCATACAGTACGTACAAGATGTCACAGCAGCTGATTCCCCAAGCCAGAAATTCACAGCATCAGGCTTCTTCCCTGTATGGTTAGGGAAGAGAGAGTTGTTTTCAACAAACAGAGAATTTGAAGTGCCATGTTTAAAAGTGTTTCAAATGCTTTTCTGCCAACTTGCTTTATTTCTGTCCTTTAAGTTCTTTCATAAATATGAAAGGCTCCATTGCTAGCAGCACTGTGTAAGGAACTGCAAGCTCCTTCTACACCGGAAGCTATAGCAGAGACACATCAGACCAGACGAGGCAGTTAAGTATTCAGCCCCAAAGCCATGATTACAACCCTTATTTCCCACATTCTGAATCCCTAAGACATGGCTTAGAGAGAAACTGCAGAGCATCTAAATACAGTTGGAAAAAGAATGCAAGATCATAGTAAATTGATGTTCTGTGGAAATACGTTCTGTAAAATACAAATTGACGGACATGGAGCAGCGCTTAACTAGTAGGAACAAATATCTATAATTTTACCCTGGGGGGCAGAGGGGGGGATTGCAAGGTTTTGTTTCGCCCCTTGGTTACGCTAGCTTTGGTAGCAATAGCATGAATATGCATCCAAACATGACTCTAAATCAGAAAAAAGCAAACCGCTATATGGAAAGCAGAGCTGAACAGCACCATCACCACATTAGTTCAGACACAGTGGTTCCAATACACAAGTGAGATACTGAACCATGGAGTAATCCAAACCCAAAACTAAGATTACTCCAATTTTAGCTACTTTACCACTTCTACTTTTTTAGAGAATAAAACCAAACTGAGCTGTGGCAATCAGGAATGGAACAAACATTCACCATGTACATGGCATTATAGTTTTAAAGCTCCATACAAAATATTTATGAATTTAGGGAATTCAGGAAAGAGGGAAAGTTTACCAAGTGCCTCACTCATCCATGGAACGTCAGGCTGCACATCACATACAAGTTCAGGGAACTCCTCAGTGAGGTTTGAACACTGCTTCTGCACATAGAATATGTTGCGAGAAGTCACTTTCTTCTCTACAATGTCCAAAAAGTCCATGAATGGCATTTGACTCTCTTCTGGCATAACAAAACTTTCCTGAAACACTGCATCTGCATAACCATTTGGTGTTACTGCCACACTCACTACCTTGGGACCTACTACTTCCCTGCAAAATAAACGAAAGGTTTACCATCAGACCTCCAATTGGCCCAGAAGCCTGGCTTTCCGCAGCGGGCAGCTCATCATCGGATTTTCTAGCGTCTAATAAGAACCCTGACGTTCCGCTCTGATTGCTCCCTGTGGTCAAGGCCCTGGCAACATCTCTGGATTCTTTCCTGTCTAACACAGACGAGGTCACAAAGTAACTCCCTTTTTCTCAACAGAGGCAGAAAGAGGGTTCTCTTCAGCCACTTCTTATCATGAATTATGCTGGAGCTTGATATTCTCAGGACTATTCAACCCAGCCCAATCCTGGTGGCCCCAAGTTCTAAAGTTATTAAGGAGGGAGAAGAGGCGGACAGAGACAGAAACACACAGCATGCGCTAAGTTCTATGCACGTAGTTCTATGTTCGTAAGTTCTATGAGAAAATAAGTTTAACAAGGACATATTTTAGGCCTAACTGTAAACCCCTTCTCAAAAAAAGGCTTTTTAAAAACTCAGTCGTTATTAAGATGCTCATAGCTGTCTTTTTAAAAACAAGATGTACTTAGTCATAAACGAGGAGATCTGTTCAGACAAGCCCACAGCCCCACTCCAGGCGGACACAGGGTGGAGCATAGGCCATACAGCTGTGAAAGGACTGAGTTTTGGTAATGAGCCTGCTGGCTGCACACAGAGTCAAAATAGCTGTGCTTTTTACTAAAACTGAACTCTTCAGGACAGCAGTTTGTAGAAAGACATTTATATTTGTGTTTCGGACACTGGCGCAAGCAGAAGACTGAATGACTTCATACAGGCTCACAGAGCAATCTGGGCTAATCTTACAAATAAAAATGAATGCTATTAAGAGTATTTTACTAAGGTTAACTTAAATTAAACAAGAATCTGGTTCAACAGCTCATTCATACCTGAGGTACGTTAAGGTCCACTTCTTCAGAGCTGGCCAGTGACTGATGGCATTCTGAATTATACAAGGTTTATTTGGACTCACCCATTCCCGATAAAACTCCAGAGGGGACGGGGGCTTATCGAGATACGGTACCGACTCCATCAACCCCAGCTCTGTCCAGACAAATTAGAAACAGTTTTACCCAGTGTCCCAAGCAAGCACTCTTTACTAGAACAGTAGTAACCAAAATGACCAAAACCCGAGACCTTCATCAACGACAGACGATGCCCATAGACTCCAGCAGTCACCTGTTACTAACACCCACATATCATTAGGGCAGGTTTCAATGCCAAATTGGTTCATTGGAGGCAACACGCGGGCAGTCACCCAGCTTCCCTCCTGCTGCCAGCCACAGTTCATCCCACGGGTGCCTCCACTTCAGCCCGGCAGATTTCCCAAGCGTTAAAGGAGAAACAACGGCAGGGCAGGGCAGGGCCGATCGCAGCCCCGTCCGTGCCCGTCCAGGACTTTGCGCTCTGCTGATGGGGCACCAGCGTCACCCAGGCAGCGGCCGAGCCTGACGCACAGGTTTTTACTCTGTTTTAAATGCCATCATCTACAGAGATGGTATTTTTTCATACAGCGTTGTCAAGTATCTTTAGAAAAAGATGTGCATTTAAAACTTGCATCGCGTGAAGAGGCACGTAACACAGGAGATTCACCTCCGAACAAAAGGCTTTTAAAAGTTTCCACCGAGGTCACAACGAAGATACCGCAAGAGAATTTCTTGAAACTGAAATATTGTTTTGCTTTTTTATCCACATGCCAATAACCAAGAAGGGTCATTTTCACAAGTTTCACTTTCTTTTTAAAAAAATAACTGCTTTTCTGCTGTTTCTTCCCCTCAGAAAGGCAAGGGCTGTTGGACCCGGTGCTCTCTGCGAGCACGAGGCTGGATGACGCAAGGTGCGTCACCCCACAGAGGTGCCCTCTGCTGCTGCGAGGGGCATTTCCACTCGCTCCCCCTCGCAGCC